CTCAGGGCCCGCCCCCAAAGGATCGCCCCGCCCCGTCCTTAAAGGCACAGGCTCCCAGGAAGGGATTCGGGTCTTCCCCACTCTCCATCCTCCCTTCCATCACTGTCTGAGTTCTGCTTTCGTGGAGAAAGCAGAAGCCGAGATGCAAGACCCTGGGCAGGAAGCCTGAGAGGGACAGTTAGACGGTCAAACTAGAGGGCTCCGTTCCCGAGGGTGGAAGGGCAAGCGTGTCAACTGTTCCTGGTGATGAAGGGTTATCTGGAATATTTGAGAAAATCCCAGGAGGAGAAGGCCTGCCCTCCCACAAAGATTCTGGCTGTTCTGAAATGCCTCTCTGTGGCTCCTAAAGCTGGAGTCGGCATTCCCCTCTGGCAGCATGGCCCCAAAAGATGTTGATTAAAAATTTTTTCCCAGCTGGGCGTGGTAGTCCTCACCTGTAATCCCAGCAGGAGGTCGAGGCAAGAGTATTGCCTGAGCTCAGGGGTTCCAGACCAGCCTTGGCAACTTGGCAAGACCTCGTCTCTACATTAAATTAAAAAATTAGCTGAGCGTGGTGGCACACATCTGTGTTTCCGGCTACTTGGAAGGCTGAAGCGAAAGGATCGCCTGAGCCCAGCAGGTGGAAGCTGTGGGGGCCGTGAGTGTGCCACTGCACTCCAACCTGAGCCACAGAGTGAGACTCTGACTAAAAAAAAAATTCTTTTACAACTTGGACAACATGGGTGAGACCTGTCTCTACAAAAATAAAAATAAAAAATAGGCTGGTGTGTTGACCTACACTTGTAATCCCAGCTACTTGGGAGGCCAAGGCAGGAGGATTCCTTGAACCCAGGAGTTTGAGGTTGTAGCAAGCTAGGATTGCACCACTGCACTCCAGCCTGGACAACAGAGTAGGACTCTTATCTCTAAAAAAAGAAAAAAGGCCAGGTGCAGTGTCTCAAGGCTATAATTCCAGCACTCTGGGAGGCTGAGGTGAGCAGACTGCCTGAGCCCACGGGTTTGAGAACAGCCTGGGCAACTTGGCGAGACCTCGTCTCTACAATAAATCAAAAAATTAGCTTTCGTGGTAGCATGCCCGTAGTTTTGGGTACTTGAAGATTGAGGAGGAAGGATTGCCTGAGCCCAGCAAGGCGACATTGAGGTGGCCTTGAGCGGGCCACTGCACTCCAGTCTGGGCGACCGAGTGAGACTCCAACTCAAAATAAATAAATAAATAGAAATAAAAATAAAAAAAGAAAACAGGGCTAGGCATGGTGCCTCACACCCGTAATCCCAGCACTTTGGGAGGCCAGAGGATCACTTTAGTCTAGGAAGTCGAGGCTGCAGTGAGCCCGCTCCCACCTGGACAACAGAGTGAGACCTTGTCTCAAAAAAGTAAAAATAAATAAATGAAGACAATGGCAAACAGACAAAGACTGGGAAGTTAGCAATCTGCCTGTCCTGACAGATGTATCTTCCTATGTCCATGGTCTCCCAGACTCCAGGGGAAGTCTCAGGTTATTCTGCTGGGGGTCGGCATGGGGGTGGACTGCAGTGTGTGGGGCTGGGGTAGGTGTGTCCTCCCAGCCCCTCCGGCCCACCTGCAGCCCTGTCCCCATCATCCGCAGGCATCCCAACATCATCTCTCTCTCTCTCAAAGTCGCCCTGCTTCCTGCTCCTCTGCGGGACCGAGGCCCAGCTAGGATCCCAGCCAGCCGTTCAGGGTCCTTCGCTGTCCCCGGCATGTCTTTCGGACGTCACCTTTCATCTCTGCTTCTATGTCCTCCTGCTTTGGGCCCTGGAGTGCTCTCCATCCCCTGAAGGTGCTGGGTCTTGTCTCACAGCCAATGCCTGTGCTCCTTCCCAACCTCCTACCCTCACCACCCTCTCTTTCCACCTGACAAACTTTCACTCGTGGAGTCAGGCCCAGCTCAGAGGCCACTGCTTCTGGGTGGTCTTCCACCCTCCCCTGCCCCTCCGCACCATGGCCCCCACCTTCAGACCATGCCTCAAATTCTTGCCTGAGTGGGTGACATTGCAGCCCAGAGCATAATTTGTCCGGAAGCATAGAACACCAAGTTTCTGTGGGACCTTCGGTGCACACGTAAGACTCCCTGAGCCTCAGTTTTCTCTCCTGTAAAATGGGACTGATGACAGTATCCTCCTCCTGGGTCCTTGCGAGATACGACAGGACATGGTGTGAAGAGCCCTGGACCCCTGCCTGGCACTGAGTGACTTCTTGGTGGAAGGCACGAACTGTCGCTGCTATTCCATCATTACTGCAAGGCAGCGACGGATGTGCCTGTCCC